GTGATTTATATGCTCTGTCTAAACATAGAAATTATATAGATAACCTATCTATATTATCTATATAGGGTTATATAATCTATATAAGGTTATCTATATTATTTCCATAGAAATTAGGTTATCTATAATTATTATTTCTATGATTACTTCTAATATTCTATGGCTCTAAGCAGAGCACTTAAATCAACGAGTGCCGAATTAATTGAGTGACTGTGCTCTGCTCACTGATCTCTATAATATAATATAGAGATTATATTTAATTAGAGATTATAGAGATTATATTATAGAGATCATGCAGTAGCTCTCCTCTAACGAGTCTAAACTTTCAGACCGCCTTTACCGCCATCTACTCTGTTACTGACGTGAATGCTCACTTGTTTACATAGTACGCTTTGAAAACATTAGCGGCATTAGTGTATTATTTGTTTTCGTTACTTGTATATTTCCGCATCATGTTAGATCTACAATAAAATTTGACTATACGTAAGTTAACATTATAGCCCGCGTACAGTTGCCACAGGGCTATAGAACATTCTATTACGAATGTAACGTTGAATTAAAGTTAGATGTAGAAATGATGAAGAAAAAATCCAAACGTGTGTGTCAGATATTAAAGTTGATTCAGTTTAAAGAGGCTAGATTATAGATATAGTTGAACGGCTACTGAATAAACTTTAATATCTGACACACAAGTTTGGATTTATTCTTCATCATTTCTACATCGAACTTTAATTCAATGTTACATTTTGGAGCCAGTGACCAGTCCAAAACCTGGGTATTCCTTTGCGGATGCAACGCAAGGTACCGCTACTTCACTATATCGATCTACGGGCCAGCAACAAAACAGAGAAAGAGAGTGACGAGAACAGGAGCAAGAGTAGGAGAAACGAAGAACGACGGAGAGCGATCGAGAGAGACTAAGAGTGACGGTGAGCGAGAGAGAGAGGGAGGGACGGAAAGAGCGAGACTCGGGAGTGAGAACGGTGGATACACACGGCGTAAGAACTACTGTGAGTAAGTTAGCGTGAAGGAAGGAAGAGCCGGTGTTGCATCTGTGTTACTGCGAGGGCAATTCCGAGTCTCGACCTATGTGAGAGAGAGAGAAAATAGCAGAACAGAAAAGGCAAGGCTGACAAAGCAGAGACAGGACATGAAAGATATATTGCAAACTGTAATGGCCAAAAAAAAATTATAGAATTTAATTGGTGGAAAGCTTCAATCTCGTGCTGTCGAAACTGGACGTGAAAGTATGACATCATCAGGAATGTGTATTTTTATCTGTTTTTCTTTGTTTTATGAAAGCGGTATTTTTTTAACGTACGAATGCTCGGGATCAACTTACTCCAGCCAGTCAGCGGGAACTATGTATTTCCGCACGTGGAGGAGTGGGCGGGTTGTGATGGTTGTGGACAAAAACATTGTTGTCAAGCCACAAATTAATAATAGTATCAGTAATTTGTTCATCTTTCATGACAAAACTAATATTACAATTTTTTTTGATCGCATTTAAAATTTGTTACTTGACAACAACAATGTTTTTGTCCACAACCAACACAACCTGCCCACCCCTCCACGTGTGGAAATGCATATAGTTCTCGCTGACTGGCGCTGCTGCAGCGCCACCAAAAACGGCCGTTTGAAGTTTGTAAATAATGTTCGTTCACAAGAAATACTGCAAGTAGACCATTTCAACAATAGTTAGAGGTTAAATTTTAGTAGCGGATATAACTTAATACATATATTTACTTCGGATAAGAGGCATTAATTACCTACCACAGACGTTTTATAGCCGCGAGTAACCATGAATAAGTTGGTCCCGAGCATTCGTAATAGAATGTTCTATAGCCCTACGGCAACTGTACGCGGTCTATAGTACTAGAGCTAGGACAATCATACCCGTACCATGAATACTATTTTTATTTGTACTCTGTCTCCGGTGTATCGTAATGGCCCTAAACCGTAATCATGATTCAGATCTTTGAGTTTAAGCCATTTCTGCTGATGATTGCGTTTCACTCGCTCTTGCAATGTCACACTTGCACTTGCAGTGCATTGTAACCATATATAATATAATACAGTAGTACTACTACTAGTAGTAGTACACTACTGACTACAGCCCATAGCCACTGGCACTACTAGTGCTGCTAGCAGTAGCATGGCACTAGCTCTGCATACTATAGTACTAGAGCTAGGACAATCATAACCGTACCATGAATACTATTTTTACTAGTACTCCGTCTCCGGTGTATCGTAATGGCCCTAAACCGTAATCATGATTCAGATCTTTGAGTTTAAACCATTTCTGCTGATGATTGCGTTGCACTCGCTCTTGCAATATCACACTTGCACTTGCAGTGCATTGTAACCATATATAATATAATACAGTAGTACTACTACTAGTAGTAGTACACTACTGACTACAGCCCATAGCCACTGGCACTACTAGTGCTGCTAGCAGTAGCATGGCACTAGCTCTGCATACGTATAATGTCGCCGTTTGTTCCACAGCAGGGCGGGTCTGTTGAAACAAACAGTGTCGAAACAATGCAAAGCGCAGGCGCTGTATCGACCATGCCTGAAGTTAGCATTCCGCTAGTCTCTGGACGTCCGCTATTAGAGAGAGGAGGTGGTGTATATCCTCCCCTTGGCCTACCATCTCTTCCCGGCAACCAGCAGAGTACATTGTCATATACGCAGCTGTGGAAAGAGAACAATTACCTCCTAAGACGAAGTGCGACATCTGCAGATGGTAATTTTTGATAACAGTATTCAAGTTAATGAAACACAAGCTGCTAAATCAACAAAATCATGGAGAACGTTAAACATATTTATAGTGAGTAATGCCTACAGGTGTACATGTAATCGTACGCATCAAACTGCTGTGTCATAGCTAATGATCTATAGTTGATACCAAGCAGGTATATTATTTATATATTTTTGCTCTGGTTTGAATAGGTGGAAACTAGTTAGACTGCATTGTGCAATATGTTATCTGCAGGTGATGTCATGTCGCAAGGAGGAGGAGGAGGAGGAGGAAAAGGAAGCCTTCAGTTGATGGAGAGGTTCAAACAGATCAGGATGCTTCAGCAACAGCAGCAGCAGCATCTTCTTCAACAACAGCAACAGCACTTAGCGGCACAGAAGGTAAACATCTTTCACAGATGGTCAAAATCCTTACACGGAAGGTAAACAT